GCCTTGCCTGGCTCCTGGAAACACTCCTGCTCTCCTCCTGCTCCCACCAGCATCACAAGGGAAATCTCTGACAGCCTGAGCTTCTCACCAACCCAAACCACTTCCACAGCCACAGAGCTCAGGATAGGAATGGGAAAGTTTGCCTTTTTCCCATAATTTATCACCTTTGCCCAGTTCTGTTACTGATGCACCTCTCACACCTGAGAGCTCTAAGATGTCCTTTTCCTCTGCCCTGTTGTCTTCAGGAACTGCCCAGGACAGTCTGGAACCTGCTTTCAGTGGATAGAGGTTCTCCTGTGAAGGAGTTTTAGTTAAATTAATACACTCATATCTAATATCCAACCAGGGCTAAGGGTTGGACTCGATGATCCTTGGGGGTCCCTTCCAACTCAGCATATTCTGGGATTCTGTGAACAAGGCCAGCGAGTTCCTACAGACTCCTGCTCTAACCTGTTTAAGAAGTTTCTGCCATGAAACTTCTTCTGTTGCTGCTTTTTTTTTCTTTTACAACAGAAGTTGAGTGAGCCAGAGGGTTCAGTCCAGGAATCATTAGTGGTTGCCTGTCCATTAATCTCCCCCGTGCTGGCTCTCACCCTCCCTGCTGTGGCCTCATCACCAGCAATGCTGCCCTGGCACCACAGGGCCACCTGGACACAGCTCTGGACACCTGGACACAGCTCTGGACACCTGGACACGGCTCTGGACACCTGGACACAGCTCCAGCACCGGGCAGCACCCCCAGGGCCCCCCAGAGCAGACAGTGTGGAAAGTTCATCAACTCAGCAGGTGCCTCCCAGCACCTGGAACGGGGAGGAGGGGGGGTTTGGTAGAGGGGTGGGTGCATTAACAATCAGACATTTCTGCCATGGGTCCTTCCAGCACCTAGAGAGGCTCCAAGAGAGCTGGAGCGGGACTTGGGACAAGGGATGGAATGACAGGACAAAGGGGAATGGCCTTAAGCTGAAGGAGGTCAGGGTTAGATGGGATATTGGGAAGAAATTCTTCCCTGGGAGGCCCTGGCACAGGTTGCCCAGAGAAGCTGTGGCTGCCCCATCCCTGGAAGTGTCCAAGGCCAGGTTGGACAGGGCTTGGAGGGTGGAAGGTGTCCCTGCCCATGGCAGGGGGTGGAACTGGATGATTTTTAAGGTCCAACACAAACCATTCTGTGATTCTATGAGTGAGGGCAGGATACATGAGACTGGTTTTGTTTTTCAAGCCTCTTCTTTGTGCCAAATTAAGAAGAGTTGTTCCAGCAGTTTGTCCCCATCCCAGCATTCCCTCTCCAAGCTCCTCATCACCTCTGCTGGGTTTCAGTTTGGAATACTTGGTCCTGCCCCACATGGAGCAAACAGGGGCAGATCTGTCAGTGCTGGTGCTCCCAGTGCTGGATGAGGAGCCCACAGTTATGGGCATGGAGTGCCCTTCCATAGCTCCTGGCACAACCTGCTCATCCCATGGAGTAACAGGAGTCTGTGCTGGCAATTCTCAACCCTGCAGGTTCCCAGAGGGAGCTGGGAGCTGCCCAGGGGTTTGAATGCTTATAGGGAGTGACTTCTGGGTTTAAATGATGATCCCAGTGTTTACTCCTAAAGATCTCCACAGCCTGGGGGAAAGTTGTAAATAGGGCTCTACATTTAAGTAACATCCACTGTTATTGGGGTTGGATATGCAGGAATATGACAGGGAGCCATTCCCAAAGTACAGGGAAGGAATTTAATGGCACAAGTCCTGCTGGTGTTAATGAGAGACACAAAGCCACCAATTCCCTGTGTCCTGCTTTGAAATGACACCTTGGAGGGCCTTCAGCAAGGGCTGCTCCAATCCTAATCCCCTTCCCAGGGATGCTGTGCCTCTGAACACTGTGTACAACCCTGCTCAGGCTGGGAGGAGCATCACAGCTTCTCCTGCTGGAGATTTGCTGATCTAATTTAGAGAGGGCCTAATATTCCCCTTCTAATTAATTTGTTCTGTTCGCCTGCCACTGAACTGGCTTTTGTTCTTTGGGAGCTCCTCAAAAATTAGCTGCAATACCTGATGGAATTTAATTATATAGGCTAGGAGAAAGCGATTAAGGGCAAAGGGAGGGCTCATCACAGCCCAGAGGCTTCAAGGGTATGAGCAGAAGGGAGGGCAGAGCCTGCTCTGCTCAGGTGGAGGGAGAATACTGAGGAGTGATTGTCTCCAGCAGGGACTTTAAGGTTAGAGATAAACATTCCTTGATATGTGAATGCCTTTGCCAGGGTCAGATGTGTGTTACCAGAGCTGTCCAGATCTGTCTCAGATACATTGCCAGTGAAATTAGGTCTGCACATCACCCTTGGCCTCGTGCAGCAGATCTGGGTTCTGATGCTCTTTAATCTCCTTGGGATCTGTGCTTCCAGAACAGGGAGAACAGGCTGCAAGGGAAGGAGCTGAACTCAAAGACTCCTGATCCCTGCCAGGGACAGCCTGAGCCAGAGTCTGGGAGGCCCTAGATCCCATATCCCAGTTCTCAGCGGCAGAGCTGAGCAAAAGATGCTAAACATGAAGGGAATTCAGGCCAAACTTCAACAGGAATTCTGCAAAACTGCACAATTCCCCCAGTGTCTGGTCAGCACAGCCATGCAAATCTCTACTCCAGGGCACAGGAATAACTGTTATTCAAAGAAAAACAGTGGCATTGCATAAAAGGGTGTCTGAGGAAAGAGAGAAAAAAATGGGGAAGAGAGAGCAGAGAAAGAAGTGGGACAAATAAAACTGGCTGATCACAGGAAAACATTCAGTTTGACTCTGGAAACTGCTCACAGTCACACAACTGAAGGTACCCAACGACAATATGAGTGCCCAGGCTGTGGGAGGCACACAGGACACACCTTCCCAGCCACATCCTGCATTTTGAGGGGCTGGAACAGCACTCATGGTCAAGTATCATGTGTCAGCACATCCTATATGGCGCTGGGCTCTGAAATGGTGGGTGAGAGGTGCTCTGGGATCCTCTGCAAAGCCAGAGCACCCACAGGGGTGATTCTCCATCAGCAGAGGACTCTTCCCTGTGCCTGCAGCCTCCTGGGGCACTGCCTGACCCAGGGACAGGCTGAGTGAGGGGCTGGAAAGGACAGTCAGGGGGCAGGAACAGAGAAAGTGTCTCTGCTCCCAGTCTAGCAGCATCCTCTTGGGAAGGCACATCAGGGATGTGGGAAGGGCTGCATGGACAGGGATCTCTAGAGGGGGTTGTCTGGGATGCACAACCTCACCATAACATCACCACCCAGATAAACCATAAAATAACTGGAAATGGAAAAAAAATTGTGTGTGAATTTTGCCCCAGTCAAGCTGTTTAAGCCCCAGCACTGAGCAGCCTCTCACACACCAGGGAAGAGCTTTACAGACCCAACACACACACCTTGTTCTACTTAGGAAACAACACATCCTCCCTTGGGAATCGGGCAGGAGGGGTGAGGGGAAGCAGTGCAGGAGCTGGCTGTGTTCCCAGTTCCTGCTCTGCTGCCACAGGAGACACCAGGCACTGTGGCAAGGGAGCTCAGGAGACCGTGCTTAACACTTTGCTGCCCTGGTGGAGCCTCCCGTCCCTGTCCTGTGCAACATCATTAGCAGGAGCCGGCTGAGAAGGTCCCAGTGCTAACGAGCCCCTCGGGGCAGTGGCAAAGATAAAGGGCTTCGTGCTGAGCCAGGACCCCGAGCAGAACATCCACAGCTCTGGAGCAAACACGTCCCTGCCCGAGTCATTTGTGTCTCTGACTGTCAGTGCCAACGTTTGTCTGCTGGAGGAGCTGATGGGGGCACTCAGAGCCCATCCTACATAGACACAGGCCTGTCTGCCAAACCCACCTTTGATCGAGGAATAAACCATCTCTCTGGACTCCCACAAGCCCTCAGAAGCTCTTTGATGCTGCAGACACTTTGTGCTCTTCTACCAGAGGTGGGACACAGTGACCAGAGCTGCCACCGTACTTCTGAGCTGACAGGCAGACAGTGGGGTCCGTGTGTGCCCACACCATTATCATCCTGCAGCCAACAGACAGGCCAAAGCAACCCCATGTGCTAATTATGCTAATTAGGCACAACCACGTGGGCCAGGAGAGCTCCTGGATTTGTGGGAGAGGTGATTAGAAGCTGCTACAAAAACAACCCCAAATGGAGGGGTTTCCCAGCTGACCCCCCATCCCTGTCTGCAGGAGCTGGTGCTCCCAGGCAGCCTGCAGGGGTGGGTGTGCCCAGGATTCTCCGGCTTCCTGAGGCACCAGGGCTCTGGGTTTGCTCAAAGACACCCAGTGTGTTGGACTGGGAGTCCTGGCTGCTGCACGGCCCGGCTGGAGCATCCCCTGGCCAGGCTGGAGAGGTGGCTCAGGAGAACCTCTTGGAGTTCAACAAGGCCAAGTGCAACGTCCTGCACATGGGTAGGGTTAATCTGAAGCACAAACACAGGCTGGGCAGAGAATGGATTGAGCCCAGCCCTGGGGAGAAGGACCTGGGGAGGCTGGTGGGGGACAGGCTGGACATGGCCCAGCCCAGAACCCCCCGTGCCCTGGGCTGATCCCACAGCGTGGGCAGAGGGGAGGGGGGGATTCTGCCCCTCTGCCCTCTCAGGTGAGACCCCCCTGCAGAGCTGCTCCAGCCCTGGGGAACAGCACAGGGAGGACATGGAGCTGCTGGAGAGAGTCCAGAGGAGGCCATGGGGATGCTCTGAGGGCTGGAGCCCCTCTGCTCTGGATCCAGGCTGGGAGAGCTGGGGGTGTTCACCTGGAGAAGAGAAGGCTCTGGGGAGACCTTCCAGTCCCTAAAGGGGCTTCAGGAGAGCTGGAGAGGGACTTGGGACAAGGAATGGCTTCAAATTGAATATTGGATTTAGATTGGATACATGGTAGAGATTCTTCCCTGTGAGGATGTGGAGGTCCTGGCACAGGTTGCCCAGAGAAGCTGTGGCTGCCCCAGCCCTGGAAGTGTCCAAGGCCAGGTTGGACGGGACTTGGAGCAACCTGGGCTGGTGGAAGGTGTCCCTGCCCATGGCAGGGAGTGGAACTGGGTGATCTTCAATGACCCTTCCAACCCAAACCATTCCATGACTCTACGATGGCACAACTGAGTCCTTCCCACGCTTAAGAGCAAAATGAGATGCTCTCTAAAAGCACCTCCTTCACATGGTCCCACGTGAATATCACAACAAGAAGCCAAAAACAAAATAAGACCCAACCTTGTAAAGCCTTTTGCTGCATCTGGGTCTCAGTCCCAGTATGGCAGCACTGGGCACCAGTTTCCTGCCAGCAAAATGCATCCTGTGCTGTTCCTCTCTCTGCAGTCAAAGTCTGATTCATTGGCTTTTCCTTGGTGTGGAAATGGGCTCTGATTTAACCCACAGTGTGGACCAGTTTGGTCTTTCCCAGTGTTTGAGAGGATTTGAGCTGTGTGCACGAGAGTTTAATGGAATGAACTCGCTATCCAGGGAGGGAGGTGTGAAATGGGGACCAGGTGGCAAGCTGGGAAGCCTGAGAAGGAAGAACACTGAGTGGATTCCGAAATGAAGGAGATCACACACTAATTAAACCAGCCAGATTTGGTAATGACTGCTAATGGCACATTAAGCTGTCTAGTCTGAGATATAGGTTTGTTTTGCTGCTTCCCAGTTCGGGTTTGCTGCTTGTTTGTTTATTTTGCTGGTTTTACAGTTTTATGGCTGTTGACCTCCTGAACATGACAATCCTGTCCCAGCTCTGACAGGGGTGATGTTAATGGCCCACAATGAGTTCTGTGCCCCAGGAGCCCAGCAATGTGCTCTGCCCAGCCCCTTCTGCTGAATATCTCTGAAAAAGGTGAATGAAATGGGGTATTCAGAGAAACAGAGGGACTGGCTTTGGAAGGGAAAGCAATTTAGACTCCAGCGTGGTTTGGGGATTTATTTTTTTTTTTAGTGTTCTGGTATGTTTTAAGAAGAAAACAAAGATCTCTTGGGTGGTTCATGGTAATGTGTCCTGTCACTCGTCCTAATGGCTTTTTTTTCTCCCCAGTGCAGTCCTGTGGCTCTTCTGTGCCCAATGCCCCCCCCTCAATGCAATTCCTCCCATTTTATAGCTGTTTGCAGGGGGGTTGGACTCCCAAAGCAGAAGGGGAGGTGGTTTGCAGTGAGACAGCCTGGCTGCCATGACAGCATTCCCCTAAAACCAGGACCAGGGACAAGGATAAACCCAAGTGCAGGAACTGTGAGACTGCACCCCCACTGTGCCACCCCAGCCCAGCATCCCCTCTGTGCCCTAAGAACTTGCAGAGGGAGCAAAATAAAACCCCAGGTACCTAAAGACTGAGGTTCTGGTTCTGTTCTGGGTTTTACTGACATTCAGCTCTGAGTGTGTGTGGGGTTTGCCTCTCTGTGCCCAACCCACAGGGAGAAAGGAGCAGGCAGCAAGAAGACCTTGCTCTTTAATTCCAGCTTTGGGGATCTCATGTGAAGCTGAGAAATTGGGGTTGACATGGCACAGAAGTGAAGGGGACAGTGCTCTCAGGGACAGGGTGGGGTTGTTGGGGTGTCCTGTGCAGGGCCAGGAGTTGGACTGGATGATCCTTGTGGGTCCCTTCCAACCCAGGATATTCCGTGATTCTATGAATTGCCTGATGATTATAAAGAAAATAATCTCCCAGACCAATCAAAACACTTCCCCTGACTACTATTATTTTTATCCTATTTTTAGGTGAGAGCTTGTTGAAGCCACAACTTGTTTTGAGCAGCAACCGTGTCTTTTTCTTTTGGAGAAATTCAACATTAAATACATCGGGGTGTTGAAAGGAAAACTCAAGAAAGAATACCCAGTGAGGGGTAAAACAAACCTGTCTGCTGTTCTTAGGGAGTTTGTTTGTCATCTCATAGTCCAACCCCTAGGGCAGGAGACAGTGTAGGCATGTCCTGGTGCTCCACAGCTGGGATTTGGAGAGTGTCACCACACTAAAATGGTGAGAAAAACTGACCTTGGCATCCCAGAGGATCCTGATAATATTGGATGCTTGCCAGAGATTTTAGAAGTATAGAAGAAGTTGTGTTTTATAAGCTATTACTATGGGACAGGAGGATGATCTTCCTAAGGGGGCAGATTATCACCTTGGCCTTAAACTTTCCTGTGAAGGGGAAGCTGGTCCTTGCCAGGGTCAAACCTGGGAGCAGAGAGCAGAGCTGAGCAGGGTGGAGGTGCCAATGGTCCTGGAGGGTTGGGGAATGCAGGGAGACCTCATTGGGTCTGTAGCTCTCTCCCAGACTCTTCACAAGGGCTTTGTCTGGGTGACTCAGGAGACAGTTCAGCAGATCAGCCCAGAGCTCAGCTGGGTTGTGCTGTAACTGCTGAGCCAGTGGTGGCAATCCTGTGCTGAACTGAGCTCCTGGGAAGGATTCCTGCCCATATCCATGGCATGGAGGTGTGGGGGGTGGCTTCCAAAAGGCTCTAAATCCAAGGCAACAGCTAATGGGGATCACAAGCTGCAGGAGATCCTCCACAGCCAACACCTCCTGGTGGGAGATTCTGTGTTGCTGAACTGTTTGAATTCGTGTCTCTTGATTTCTGTTTGTTAACTGAAGGAGAGGAAAGACATGGTCAAAAAACTGACCAGTGACACAACTCGAAGGTACAGCTGGAGCTGTGTCAGGGCAGGCTCAGGTTGGATCTCAGGCAAAGGTTCTTCCCCCAGAGGCTGGTTGGGCACTGCCCAGGCTCCCCAGGGCAGTGGGCACAGCCCCAAGGCTGCCAGAGCTGCAGGAGGGTTTGGACAACGCTCTGAGGGACAGGGTGGGATTGTTGGGGTGTCTGTGCAGGGCCAGGAGTTGGACTGGATGATCCTGATGGGTCCCTTCCAGCTCAGGGTGTTCCATGATTCTGTGGTTCTGTGATGGAGCCCAGCTCATACATATCCCAAAGTTTTCCAGTGTCACAACCTGCACTATTGATATGCAGGTGATGCAAGCCATTGATTAACCCCCAAAGCATGAATTAATTAAAGCTGTAGATATGGCATCAGCATCATCATGAATTAATTAGAGCTGTAGATATGACATCAGCATCATCATCACAATTGTCTTAAAAGCAAAGAAAGATGAGAGCTGTGGCAGGTTCCTGTGGAGCTGCAGCCACTGCACCACCCTGAGCACTGATTCCTCCACCCTGAGCACTGATTCCTCCACCCTGAGCACTGATTCCTCCACCCTGAGCACTGATTCCTCCCTCCTGGCTGCTCCCACCAGCTGCAGGAGGGAGGGAGGGAAGGAGGCCCTGGGGAACCTCAGCCCTTTAATGAACCCCAGCCAGAAACAAAGTGTGCTCTCAGAAATGCTAATGGGAAAATGTTCCCTTCCCAGGGACAAAGCTGCTCAACTCCTACTTCCAGGAACCAGGTCACTTCCAGGCAGGAATGGACCCTGAGCAGCACAGACCCAGCCAGGACAGCTGGGTGTGCTGGTGGGGTCCCTCCAGTGTCACTGTCCCCAGGGTCCCAGTCCCCTGGGGTGGCACTGCTGTGCCCTCTGAGACTTGGTGTTCCTGTTCCATTCTCTCCTAACTCCTCTTTCCCCACTTCCTCAGTTTCAGACCTGGATCATAAAATATTTCCAGGGGATTCACTGATTTATCAGGCTTGACCTCAGCAGATCACAGAGCAGATTTGGATGGTTCCCTCCTCCCTTTCTAACACAGAGTCAGGGAGGAGCAGGAAAGGCAGGACAGGAGAAAGAAGGAGAGATGAAGGCAAAAAAGTGAAGGAAATGGAAGTGTGGGCAGCAGATCCAGAGGGGGGATTCTGCCCCTCTGCCCCCTCAGGTGAGACCCCCCTGCAGAGCTGCTCCAGCCCTGGGGAACAGCACAGGGAGCACATGGAGCTGCTGGAGAGAGTCCAGAGGAGGCACCAGGATGATCAGAGGGATGGAGCAGCTCTGCTGGGAGGAAAGGGGAGAGAATTGGGATTGTTCAGCCTGGAGGAGAGAAGCTTTGGTGTGACCTGATTGTGGCCTTTCAGTGCCTGAAGGAGCTACAAGAAAGATGGAGAGAGACTGTTTGCAAGGGCCTGGAGTGACAGGACAAGGGGGAATGGCTTCCCACTGACAGAGAGGGGGTATAGATTGCATATTAGATATGATTGTATTAATTTAACTAAAACTCCTTCACAAGAGCACCTCTTCCACTGAAAGCAGGTTCCAGACTGTCCTGGGCAGTTCCTGAAGACAACAGGGCAGAGGAAAAGGACATCTTAGAGCTCTCAGGTGTGAAAGGTGCATCAGTAACAGAACTGGGCAAAGGTGATAAATTATGGGAAAAATGCAAACTTTCCCATTGTATCCTGAGCTCTGTGGCTGTGGAAGTGGTTTGGGTTGGTGAGAAGCTCAGGCTGTCAGAGATTTCCCTTGTGATGCTGGTGGGAGCAGGAGGAGAGCAGGAGTGTTTCCAGGAGCCAGGCAAGGCAGTGTCCATGTCACAGAATCCCAGAATATGCTGAGCTGGAAGGGACCCACAAGGATCATCGAGTCCAACCCTCAACCCTGCACAGGCCCATCCCCAAGAGTCACCCCCTGTGCCCCAGAGGATCAGCCAAACCCTCCTGGAGCTCTGGCAGCCTTGGGGCTGTGCCCACTGCCCTGGGGAGCCTGGGCAGTGCCCAACCAGCCTCTGGGGGAAGAACCTTTGGCTGAGATCCAACCTGAGCCTGCCCTGACACAGCTCCAGCCATTCCCTGGCTGCTGTCCCTGGTCCCCCCAGAGCAGAGCTCAGTCCCTGCCCCTCCTCTGCCCCTGCCCAGGAAGGTGGAACTGCACTGAGGTCTCCCCTCAGTCTCCTCTTCTCCAGCTGAACACCCCAAGTGCCCTCAGTGTCCTCACACGCCTTCAAATCAAGGCCCTTCCCCATCCTCCTTCCCTCCTTTGGACACTCTCCAATGGCTCAATCTCTCCCTTCCATTGTGTCCCCCCAAACTGCCCCAGTACTGCAGGTGGGGCCGCCCCAGGGCAGAGCAGAGGGGACAATCCCTTGTCTGACACACTGAGCTTTTTCAAACCTGCAGCACTTTTTTGGAACAGGTGTTTGGACCAAAACTTTTCTGTCTCAGACACAGTGACAATTTTTCCTTCTGTTTTTAGGAAACAACAGACTTTTTTACAAGATGCTGGCAGTTTCTTCCAGCCATCCGTCCCGGCACTGCCTTTCTGGCTGTTCCAGAAGCAGGATCAGCTCTGTTTGCAGTCATTTCTCTCAGCCCTAAATGAGGCTGGAACGCTCAACCCCACAGGTGCCTCCCACCTGGGCCATGGGAACACTCACTGAGTCACATCATCTGCCTGGGGACCTTCTGTGCCACCATTCAAACTGCTCCAAATTCAACACAGCTCTCTTTGGAAGCTGCCAGTTTCCAAAGGATCCCAAATGTCCTCAGGAAGGCTGAGGCACAGTTTCCCTGCATTCCTGGTGTGGTGTTCACTCTGTACCCCGGGCATTAAGAAAGAGCAAACTGTTAACACCTTGCCAAGGTCTTGCCTTTGCAGTTTGATGTCACCTGCTGTGCCACCTGACCTAACCCAGCTCAGAGGGGACTCTAGTGAGGCAAGTGAGGCTCTGACCAGCTGAAGGTCCAGCCCTCAGGGACAGCAGGAACAATTTATCCTGTGGATATCCAAATGGACACCGTACCCTGATGGGTGTTAATGCTCATGGGAAATGAATCTGTGGAAGAACAAAGGTTTTCAGGAATAGTCAGCATGGCTTCACCAAGGGCAAATCCTGCAGAGCCCTGAAGCTGGGGAAGAACAAGCCCAGGCAGCAGCACAGGGGAGAGCAGCTCTGCCAGAAGGACCTGGGGGTGCAGGGAGACAGCAAATGGTCCTGAGCCAGCAACGTGGTCTGGTGGCCGAGGTGGGCAGCTGTATCCTGGGGGGCAGGAGGAACAGTGTGCCCAGCAGAGCAAGGAGGGCATCCTGCCCTTCTCCTGCCCTGGGGAGGCACATCTGGAGTGCTGTGCCCAGCTCTGGGCTCCGCAATTCAAGAGTGACAGGGAATGACTGGAGAAGGTCCAGTGAGGTCTGTGAGGATGATGAGGGGACTGGAGGATCTCTCTGCTGAGGAAAGGCTGAGGGAGCTGGGGAGGGATCTGAGGGGTGACCTCATCCATGTCTGTAAGGATCTGAAGGGTGGGTGTCAAGAGGATGGACCAGACTGATTTCAGTGGTGCCCAGCAACAGGCACAGACTGACACACAGGAGGGTCCATCTGGACATGAGGAAAAGCTTCTTTACTTGGAGGGTGCCAGAGCCCTGGAACAGCTGCCCAGAGAGGCTGTGGGGCCTCCTTCCCTGGGCATATTCCAAACCCACCTTTGATCCTGTGCAACCTGCTCCAGGTGACCCTGCCTGTGGTTGGACCAGATGATCTCCAGAGGTCATTCCAACCCCAGCCACTCTAATGTCAGCCTGCTTGGTTTTGTTGGCCAAGTCATGTCTCTGCCTGTGCTTCAGTTTGAGAACTGATAAATGGTGATAATACTTATTTTCTCAGCTGGGCTTTGGGAGCCTCCTTATAAATATTTATGAAGAGCTCTGTTTATAATTATAAGTAAATAAATGGGTGTATGGAATTCACAGTCTAAGGATGCAAGTTGTTCTGTTTCACACACTCAAACACAGTCATTTATGGTTTCTGCTTTCATTTGGAAGCAGAGAAGTTGGGAGTAGCAACTTCAAAACCACATCTCAAACTGAGCCCCAATTAGGAAAGAAAAGCCAGTACTTAAGGGGCAAATCCTGCTGACATCAGGAAAGACAGGGAGAAGCTCTTGTAGGTACTTCATGTGCTTAAAGATGTAGATGGTGCCTGTTGAAGTTTATAAAGTGCTGAAGTGTCTAAATCCTTTCTTAAGTCAGTCTGAGAGGGGACATCATGCTCAAATACCCAAGAGTCACTTGGGATTTTATAATCTACTCATTCTCCTGTGACACCTGCAGTAGGTTACCTTTGGGGACCTTCTGGGAATCCTCCCAGTTGTCTTTTTCCATCTTCCCACCCCCTTTGTCCTGATCAGCCTTGGCCTTGACCTTGTTTCCAACTCAGCAGTTGCACATTCCTAATTAACCCCTTTGGAGCTCCCTGAGCACCAGGAGCCTCCTGCCACCATCACCCAAACCCCGAGTCCAGCAACAGCCCTTCCCTCACTCTTCCCTCTGCCAAGGCTGGTGGAAGGTTCACAGGGGCCAGAAGACAAACTTCTGTTTGCAGGGAGTTGCCCTGAGCTCTGCAATAATCCATACGTAACACAACCCCCCATCCAAGCCCAAATCCCAGCCTGAACAGTCTCCCAGGACAGGAGATCCACCCCAAGGCTCAAAAGACCCACCTTCTGTTTCTGGATTAACCCCCTGATGGCTGTTTGACCCTAGGGAATGCTCCACACCTCCCCCTGACTCAGTTTCCCCATAAATTGTGGATGTTGGTTCCCTCCATCATTAAGTACTTTGAGGAAAAAATTAAGATATTAAAAGCCAGGGAGGGTTTTTCTGGAGGGAAAGTCAATACTGCTTTACAAATGGCTTTGGGATAACAGGCATGATTATCAGGGATTCTTTCAGTGGTTATATTTTCATGCTTTCCTGAATACCTGCACTTGGAGTGCTCTGCAGCTGCCCCTGGAAAACAGCCCCATCCTTCCCTGGGAGCAGAGTTGATCTTTGTAGAGCCCTGAGGACACCCAAAATCAGACTGCTGCAGCTTCCCAGCAGTGATCCTGCCAGGATCCCAAAGCACAGACCCCTAAGGAATCCCCCACTCCACAAGTGTGGGAGGTGGTTTGCACACACTTGCTGCCAGGCCTGTGGTGTGTTTTAATTGCTGATGGGAACGTGGAATGTGGATCCCAGTGGAGAGCTGGGAACACACTGGAGATCTCCAGTTGTCCATGACAAATGCATTTAATGCTTGACATTAGTTGTTCCAATGAGGCTCAGAGGTGTCAGCAGAGGGGTCCAGGTTGGGCTGGAAATGGCTGAGCAGAACCAAAGGCATCAAAGATCTACAGCCAAGCCTAAAAGGTTGTCCCTTAGTGACACTATAATTCAAATTTTAGTGAATAAGAAGGAGGAAAACAAGTGTAAGTTAAAAGGCTGCTGAGAAGCAGGACTGGGAGAGCTTCCTGGAGGTGTTTTAATGTATTCTGGTGCTGAGTGAAGAGGCTGGAGAGAACTGACAGGTCAGTGGCTTCTCCTCAAGTACCAGAATACAGTAAATCTGTATGTGCAGACACCTGCAGGTCTGGCACTTCAGGGGTGTTTAAAGCTGTTTAAAGCTATTTAAAGCCTGGGAGGGCCCTGCCAGGCTGGGAAGGGCCAAGGGTCTGATCCTTCTTCTACTGCTGGTGTGCCCCTGTGATACCAAACTGTGAGTGTTCAAACAACCACCCAGTGCTGTGAGAAATGAACCTCCTGCAGGACTGGATGTGACTGACCTCAGAGGGGGGATTCTGCCCCTCTGCTCGGGTGAGACCCCCCTGCAGAGCTGCCTCCAGCTCCAGGACCCCAATCCAAGAAGGACATGGAGCTGCTGGAGGAGCCCAGAGGAGGCCACAAAGATCAAAGAGCTGGAGCCCCTCTGCTCTGGAGCCAGGCTGGGGGAGCTGGGGAGTTCACCTGGAGGAGAGAAGACTCCAGGGAAACCTTGGACCTCTTCCAGCACCTTCAGGAGAGCTGGAGAGGGACTTGGGACAAGAGATGGAGGGACAAGACAAGTGGAAATGGCTTTAAGATGAAGGAAGGTAGGTTTAGATTGAATATTAGGAAGAAATTCTTCCCTGTGAAAGGACTCCTCACAAGGGGGAATGGATTTACACTGACAGAGTAGGTTTAGATGAGATATTAGGAAAAAATCCTTCCCTGTGAGGGTGTTTCATCCTGGAGAGGAGGAGGTTGAGTGGAGACCTCACAGCACCTTCCAGGCTCTGAAGAGGCTACAGGGAAGCTGGAGAGGGACTGTTCATCAGGAACTGGAGTGACAGGACAAGAGGGAGTGGATTTAGACTGAAAGAAGGGAAATTTAGGTGAGACATATAGAAAAAATTCTCCCCTGTGAGGGTGGGGAGGCCCTGGCACAGGTTGCCCAGAGAAGCTGTGGCTGCCCCATCCCTGGAAGTGTCCAAGGCCAGGTTGGATGGGGCTTGGAGCAACCTGGGCTAGTGGAAGGTGACCCTGCCCATGGCAGGGGGTGGGACAAGATGAACTTTAAGTTCCCTTCCAATCCAAACCTGTCTGTGATTCCATGTCCCTTTTCCAGCCCCCTGTGCCCAGGTCCCAGCCCTTCCTGAATGGTGCCAGTCACTGTTGGCACCTCTGCTCACACAGGACCAGTGACTGCCCCAGGTAAGTTGTGTCTTCCATCTGGCCCTGCTGGTCCCACCACCCTTCTCTGCAGCTGGAAAAAAACTGTCCCAGCACGTGCCTGTTTACCATGAGCACGGGATGCTTTAGTGCCCAGGCTGGCACTGAGGGAGGTGGCACGGAGCTAAATTGCACAAGACAGCCACTGATGGATTATGGCACCCAAAATTAACTGGAGGGATATTTATATTTTCGCTGGCCAAGCCTTGGAATGAGGCCCTCGGAGTTTGGCAGCTCTCCCCCAGGGCTGCATTAGAAAGCTGCTGAGGGCTGAGGCAGATGCAGCAGAGAGTGAGTGCTGGCTTTGTTTTCCAGGTAGTCCTCTCAGAAACAGGAATTCAGACGGTTGCTTTGATCTTAAAGGTGACACCATTATTTTTGTGACTTTTGTGAGTGAAAGTGAGCTCAGCCTTTGCCCCTTTTGCAGGCACTTTTACTGGGGGATGATTTTCTTTGGCTGAGTCATGGAATCAGGGAATGGTTTGGGTTGGAAGGGACCTTAAAGGCAATCTCCTTCCACCCCTTGCCATGGACAGGGACAACTTCCATTAGCCCAGGTTGCTCCAACCTGGCCTTGGACACTTCCAGGGATGGGGCAGCCACAGCTTCTCTGGGCAACCTGTGCCAGGGCCTCACCACCCTCACAGGGAAGGTTTTTTTTCCTGAGATCTCATCTGTACCCATTCTGAGTCAATCTGAGCCTGTCTTTTCTTGAGTCCTGGGGCAGTTCTTCACATGATTTTGGTTGTGTCCTGACAGGGAAAAGTCTGTCAGAGTTCCTTGGCAGAAAACTCTTCCCAAGAAATGATGGGGTGGCTCAGTAAAGCCCTTGCAATCCCACATGTGGAAGGAAGGCGAGCTCAGCTGCTGCAGTGGGGCTGTTTTAGGACTCTAAGGCAGCTCTGTGCCCTGGGCAGGGGGTTTTGGCAGGGATGTTACACCTGTGACTGTCCCCAGTCCACAAGGCTGGAATGGGGGACTGCCAGTACTGAACCAGCCCCTGTGATATCTTTCTCTCCTGCTTCTCAAAACAAGAGCTTAGCAGGGTTTTTAATTTGAACCAGCAGCTGGAAGTGAGAGTGGTTTTAACCCCTGAATCTGCAGCTGCTGTAAGAACCTCTCCCTAAATCCAGGGCAGTGCCATGATGAGCAGCAGAAACCACACACAGAGCTGGGATATGGCCAGGAGGACCTTGTGCCCCTGGGCAGGACAAAGCTGTGCCCACCTGCCCCATGGACCTGGAATTCTGGGGACAAAGCTGTGTCCATCTGCCTCACAGTGCTGGAATTATCTGGACATATCCGTGTCCATCTGCCCTGTGGTGCTGGAATAATCTGGACAAAGATGGTGCTGGACTTCATCAGAAAATCTGTGCCCATCTGCCCCGTGGTGCTAGAATTCTGTGGATAAAGCTGTGTCCATCTGCC